CATATCAGATACCGCAATGTCCACATTAAAGGTTTTCCCAATTAGCGCAGTAGCGTTAGTGGTGTTAACAAACAGCTGGCCTGTAGCCTGATCCAACCAGAACAGTCCACTGGGGTTCCCGTCAGTGATGAGGTAGCTGAGTTGTCCGTTCAGCCCAGAGTCTGGATCTTCGGCCTTTATGGTGGATGCAAGAAATCCAACCAGTCCCTCTCTGACTGAGTGATTGATCGGCAAAGTGGTGGATCCCTCTTCAATGTCATTTCCCAACTCGGTCACAATCTCCCCCTTGTCTGCATTGACAGGTACACTTAGAGAAGCCACACCCTTTCTGGGTTTTGGCTCCTTGATGATCGGGTGGTTGTCGTTCACATCCTGGATGTCAATTTGCACAGTGGCCGTGCTTGTGAGAGGTGGATGACCCTGGTCAACGGCCTCCACGATAAAAGAGTAGGTGTTGGATTCCTCGTAGTCCAGGGGACGCTGGACGCTTATGATACCACTGGTCTGGTGGATGGAGAAAGCGCCTGTGTTATTTTCAACTTCATCAAGGTTGCGTATGAAGTAGGACACTCTTCCGCTGAGTTCCAAGTCAACATCGTGGGCTTCAACTTTGATGGCATTGTAGCCTGCAATGTTGTTCTCTTTGAAGGAAGTCTCATAGACGGACGTGGAGAACACAGGAGCATTGTCATTCTCATCCAGAACACGGACAAGTAGGTTTTTAATACAAAACAGTGGGGGGTCTCCATAATCCTGGGCTATGACCGTAATGTCATATTCCATTACCCTCTCTCGATCCAGGCTGCCAGTAGTAACAATCATGTAATTGTCACCTTGGATATGTTTAAGGCGGAAGGGGCCAGATCCTTTCTGAATTTGTGCTTTCACTTTGCCATTTTCTCCTGAATCTGCATCAGAAACCATCACCAGAGCAAGGAAAGTGTCCTCTGCTGCTCCTTCCAGCACAGTTGCCACAGGTGAGTTGGGTGGAGTCCAGGTCATGTGTATCCTCGGTGCGTTATCATTTACATCTTTAAGCTTGACATGTAGTTTGCAGTGCGCAGGGATTGCATTGGGCCCGCGATCACGGGCTTGTATGATTACTTCATAAGAAGACTGAGCCTCGTAGTCCAGAGGTGCTTTGAGACTCACAGCTCCAGTTTGTGGATCCACAAAGAAGAGCTTCTGAACCTCTGGATGTGTGTGCTTACTGAGCAAATACTCCACATCCCCATTGGCACCCTGGTCTGGGTCAGTGGCCTTGAGGTTGATGATGGTTGTCCCACGGGCTGTATTCTCAGGTAGCTCAACAGTGGGAGTGCTGTCCTCAAATGTGGGGCTGTTATCATTTGAGTCCTGAATATTTACACGGACTAATGTGCTCCCAGACCTGGGGGGGTTCCCTTTATCCCATGCTACCAAGGTAAGGTCAAATGAGGCCTGAACCTCCCGGTCCAGTTCTTTGATCACCACCAGCTCTGCCTGTTTTGTCCCACCTGGAGCAACCGTCACATCCAGAGCGAAGTGTTGGTTGACAGACAGCGAGTAGGTCTGGAGGCCATTAGGACCTGCATCAGGATCCACCGCCCGGTCCAAAGGGATTCGCATCCTGAGGCCCGCTGTCTCTGAGATCTCAACTTCCTGCACCGTGCTGGGGAAGCTGGGACTGTGGTCATTCTGGTCCATCACCTCCACACGAACCCGAAGGCAGTTGACAGCACCGCTTTTCCTGTAGAGGACGCTGAAGGCCACCTCGCACAGGTCCGACCCACGGCACAGCTCCTCCCTGTCCAGCCGGCCTTGGGTGGAGACGACCCCATCTCGAGTGCTGACAGCGAAGGGAAGAGCTTTTTCGTGCTCCACCACCTGGAAATCCTCCAAAGGACCGCCTTCGTCTCTCTGCCGGAGGTCGTCCACCAGACGGCCGACCTGGGTTCCTGCCGGCTGCTCCTCCCAAACCCGGTACTGGATAGTTATTGATGATGGCTCAGAGGATCGAGCGTCAGAGCAAAGACTCACAAGCAGAAGCAGAGCCAGCAGCATAATGATGTGAAGTAATGTCCAACCTAGTGGCTAAATAGACATTCCTAAAAATCACTATAAAGAAAAACTGAACTTTTTACTATAAAATTACTTTAAAAATGTCTTCTCTTGAAATAGAACTGAAACATATCCCGTCTATCTGTAAACAACATTATATAAAATGACGATCAAACCCAATTTTTCTTTAAAGTAATTTACAGTTTCTTCTCACAAAACAAACAACCACAGCCAAACCAGTGAGGAAAACTGTCGGTTTTGTAAAGCAAATACCAAGAAAAAACAAATAAACCTCCAGTCTGGTCAGGAGACGATTATAGAAGCCTGTAATTAAGATATCATCCTCTCTCTGTTCATACACTACCACTCTCTCCCTCTCTGCCTGCTGTTGTTACTCACTCATATAGCTGCTGGCGCCCAGCCTCTCACTTCATCCTCCTCAACTCAGGAAAGTTTTGCTCCAACTGAGAAAGTTTGGATGTGGGCTTCCACATGCTAGCGGAGCCCCGGCCAATCCAAAGGGAGTAGGAGGGTCATATGCAAATGTATACAGACTCAACACAAAGAAAAGCCCTCCTGCCCTGAGGAAACTCGCCACAACTCTGGAGTGCTTTTAAAGAAACATGACACCGCCTCTCCGTCACTTAATGCTTTTCTCCCCCTTTCAGTCTGCATAAACCCCTCACAACCTGCAGTCTGGGCCCTTAAATCATTTGGAAAATTTGTGTTAAGTTAAATCCCAGTGGGACCAAAGTACACAGCAGAACATATATATGATCTGGGCTTCTGACAGCAAAAATAAAATACAGATAGGCTGTCATCATAAATACGGCGACAGTTTCAGAGCTGTCTGTCATCAGTAGCACTCTGCTTTGCATTAAACTCTTTGTTGAAGCAGACAAGCTTTTTGCTAAGAATATAAAGAGTAAGTTATTTAATCCAAAGTTTGATGTATCCACAGTGGAGGACGTCCAACACAATGGCAGACTTCTCTTCTTTGAACTAACAGTTGTTTTTGTTGTATGTCCTTGGAAATGAACGAGATGATGTGGTTGTTTTCACTCAGGAAAAACAATCCTTGAAGATTCAACCAGCTATGAAGTGAATGCTGAAAATTCAGGAATGAGTCCTCAATGTGACAAAACCCACATTCCAGCTTTTTACCCGAATATAATTATGAAGGGTTAGAGCGTTCATCTCCAACCACGTCAAAACATGAGCAGCAGATCATGGTGGGAGCTCATTTCAGTCATTCCTTTGCTTTTAAAGGTTTGTACATTAGTGAAAAGACTTGTGAGTCCTGTCTCACAAGTATCAAACGTGATTAATTTCTGACCTTATAAGTCAGAACAATTGAGGTGCTTTAAGTAATAGTTTGTGAAGTTTTGTGTTCTTTTTATGTAGGCTTATGATTAAAACTGTAAGATATTGTACTGGGCTTTAATACACAACACAGGCTGTGATCAATTAACTAATATTGACAATGATTTATTGTAAATTTGAGGAGGATCAACTGATGTTTTAAAGGGAAACCAGATTTCTTTTAAGAAGTGGAGCTAACAGTTGGAACTCAGGAGACATCTAAGTGGACATTTGCCAACTAGAGCAAATACTAATACTCTCCTTTCAAAGACAGAAAATAATCTATGATACAGTATTTCCGGTGTAAATATATATGTATTTCTGTCTCTTCTCTGGCAACAAAGCTGCTTTGGTTGGATTAGAAACCTGCAGACACCAAGTTAAAACCATTAAAACCAGTTAGAGCTCAACAGCTGCAGATCCACTGAGTTGAACATCTTCCCAGCATGCACAGCGTTTATTTTTCATTCGGTCCCCACGAATGTCTTGCAGGCTGACAGAGAATCAGGCCGAGGAAGGTTCAAGCGTATCACTTTCCTCTCGGCTCAGAGGGAGGGGGACTGTTTAAATCATAAAGACATCAGCACTGTCATCTGCCAATGAAACTACCCCGGGACGGAGAGATGGATGACGACTGAAGAGATAACAGAAGCATGACAGCACTCGCGGGGGTGGGGGTTCAGTTCCTAAATATGTGAGAGAGGAAACTCACCTCGGGTCTTAAAATCCATTTACAGTTTGTGTACAGAGTGAAAAAGCAAAAGATAATGTGACAGAAAAAATCGAATAAAACAGCTAAAAAGCAAACACTGATGTATGGGAAGATGAAATAGTAAAATACAGTAAAACCCTAGTACCCTGGTGGAACAAAGTGTCCCTGGTTTGCGTCTTTATTTTTCTTATTATCTTTCTCCTGTCAGCTGTCAAATAAAGTCATAAAATGCCTCCATAATAAGACAAAAATACAATAAATGGGTTAAAAAGATGAGAGAGAAGGTGACTAAATATACATACAACATCACAGCAAGATAATTGTAGCTATTACTCACAGTCATTAGAAAAATCAGTTCTGCCCACTTCAGAGTTCAGAGAAGCTTTTAAAGTTATGTCATCATTGATATATAATAATAAGAAATGAATGCTGACTGTTAATGACTGTCAATAATAATAGAATAATAATAATAATAATATTAATAATAATAAACTTTATTCAGATAGCACTTTCCAAAAACAAGATTACAAAGAGCTTTACAGACATAAAAAACAGATAAATATAGACATCTATACAGCACAATTACACATTAGATTTAGTTGCAGTCAACAATTAGAAACAGATTAAAGAAAATCAATAAAAATCTGTAAAAATAAATAAATAAAACCAACTGAAAAAGCATTTTATAAAATTAAAATTACACTATTTTAACTAACTCTAGATTTAGAAATATTTGAAATCGCCTTTAACTCTCTGTGATGTCGGCAGTCGGCTGTTCAGGAGCCCCAAACGTGAGGCACCCAGGCAGAGCAGAGGTCAGCCAAGGAGATTAGATTATCAGCAAAACAAACACCATAAACCTCCTGTCTGCGGCCAATCAACAGGCACTGTGTGTGTGTGTGAGAGTGTGTGTGTGAGAGAGATTCCCAACTGAATAAGTCACAGGAAGAGAATGTTTCTGTAGACACACTCAGGAACACGTCTGCTTCCAATGAATTCACCACCTGTATGAGGGTTCGTGTTCGTCAACACGATCAATCTTTCGCGACGTTCTTCACTTCAAAAATACTTCTCTAAATTCAGAATTTTTTATTTTTTTAGCTGCTGGAAAGGTATGAATGAGACGCTACCGTTTTCTGCAGGAAGTGAAAACTACTGAATGAAGAACATCTGCAACAGCTGCAATGATTTAGGAAGTTTGTGATTAAGGTGAATAATTTTTTACAGCGTAACCTGCGAGCATATTTTATCCCTCTCTCCTCCGGAAAACTCCCTGAACTGTACTGTCCCTGATCCACAGCTACTGATACCGAAGCCGGATTCGACTTTCTTCGTCATCAGTTCAGTTTATAATATTACGTCACACAAGAAGAAGCGGTCACAGTGATGCCTGGATGTGCTGCAGCTTGTGTGGACCAGCCGACCCATATTGGACCATTCTGCAAAGCTCCCAGGTTACAGGTTCAGTTTTACGTCCATTGCCAACATGTATTAGTATTAGTAAGTGTTGAAGAGAAGATGAACACACACTAAGCTCCAATGACTTTATTGTATAACCGACGTTTTCAGTTCAATATTAGTGTCAGATACGGCTTTAAAGGTCCAGTGTGGTACATTAATTGGTTTAGGAAGATCAGGGTTTGGGTTAAAATCTAAATGTTAGTTAATTACACAATGTAACTTAAAAAGAAGTCATACTCAGTTATGACGCTAGAGGGAAACCTACAGTTTGAGGAGCAGTTGACACTTTCTTTAACTTTGTCAGATGATTTGTGGTTGTCGTGAGCTCAGGTACACACAGGTAACTTGTCGATGATGGTTCAAGGCTCTTTGTGACCGAGTCATTGGATCTTACTGTGTGTGCTCATCTTCTCTTCAGCATACAGGTATGTCATTGCCATAGTCAATGGTGTGCATTCAGCAGAGAAGCTCTTGTTGATAGGGAAAGATCATGGTTATGGTAATGGTTAATAAAGACACGAACAGCGAAGGGAACACTGCTTTCTGCGTTGGAATCCGCACTGAATGTGAATCATGAGCAGCAGAATTGTCCAATAAATCCGAGCTCGCCTCCAACAGGTCATCACCACCCTCCCGTCCTATGGAAGATAACTTATTATAGCTTCACCTGAGTGAGGTGTGTGGTGTGTGTGTGTGTGTGTGTGTGTGTGTGTGTGTGTGCAATTATATACGACCCCATTAGCAGCCATTAGTGCAGCCTTCAACAGTTAATTCACCTTTTGTTTGGCCTGAAGCCTCGCTGAAAGCAGCTGAAACCCCCCCTCCACCAGCGGGGAATGTGTGTGTGTGTGTGTGTGTGTGTGTGTGTGTGTGTGTGTGTGTGTGTGTGTGTGTGTGTGTGTGCGCGCGTGGTTAAAAGCAGGATGTAGCTGATCTGCTGACCCACATGTTGCCAGATAAGAATCAGAGTGGAAGAAGAAAATACCACACTCACTGGTGAGAGGATACACTGTGTGTGTGTGTGTCTTTGTGTGTGTGTGTGTGTGTGTGTGTGAGTGTGTGTGTGCATTTTTCCATATTAGCTTTGTGCTATGTGACCTGAATTAATGTTTCCATCAAATCTAATTTGCAGAATTCATAGCTGATTATGCTTCTGAAAAACAAATATATCTGAAGACGTGTTCTTCCTCAGTCGTTCTCTGTAGACGTTTGTAACTTAAAGGATCAATCTGCAGATATTCTGGATTAAAGTATTGTGAGTGTCAAAGCCTGGTTCTTCCTCTGTACTAAGGAGCTCCGTTACCATGAACACACACACTGTAGTTTATTTTGAGTCAATCAAACATACACCGTCCTGCTGCCCCCAAAACCCCCCAGAGCACCAAATGTGGATTAAACCGCTGTAACATCTCGCTTAAATACTGGAAAATGGCTCTGGACAGCAATGGCGTCTACCGTTACCGTTGCCGGTATTCTAGTCTACGAAAGTTTACCGTCATGCTCTCATCCACTAATGTGACATCCTGGGTGCTTTTCATTTCACTAACTCGTTTCCTTTCCTCGCGTCTTAGCTCCTCCAAGCGAGGAGGTGAGAGAGTTTCAGGTTTTCAGTCACGCCCACTTCCGCGTAGGATACACCGGCGTTTCCTCGCTCTCGTCCCCCTTCAGGTGCATTAAATGAATTGGAAGATCCTCCATGATGGAGGAGGGGGAATGATTTCCGGGTCACAGAAGGAGAGAGGGACACGAGGAAGCATAACGTCGTATCACTGCCTCATACTGAAGAAGTTCTTTAGACCTCCATGTTGACGGGCGAACTGACGACTGACTGGAACGCTGTAGTTTTCGGGCTGCGCAGGTGAACAGAACACGATTGGCCACACAAGCGCTGGCGAGCTAATCTGCCTGTCACCCCAACACGACCT